GACTCAGCTGAGCGAAGGTCAATAGGCAGAGACTGAGAGCATTAAGATAGCAGTAGGCGGAAGTGCAAGTCGGCAAAGTGCATAAACACCGAGAAAAGTATAATTAGTAATTGGATTGAATATCCGTTGCTAAGTGGACTGTACCGGCTGAAAGAGAAAGTAAGGAGTGACGTAGCGAGCGTGACGTCAGGCGGGCGATCGTGAGGTACACGTGCGTGCGCAGACGTCACGACACAAAGCACCGGGGGTGATCACGGGTGTATCTACGCGAAGTAAATAAACGCTACGACGCACTAGGACGAACATGAGCGCCAAAAGCTGGGGAAAGGAAGCGGACCAGGATGCAACGGGATGGGAAAAGGAGGAAGAAGAAACGGAGAAATCAGGAAATGGGAAACCAAAGGAAGGCAATAAGAAGATGATCCAAGGAAAAGAAGGAACAAGTCTTTTCGAGGAAAAGGCAGCAGAATTTGCTAAAACCAGGACAGACATGCTAAGAAAAGAAACAAGCAAAGAGGGAGGGAGAGACATAGAAAACAGAGAAGCAACAACGAGCGAAACAGGAAATATGTCGGAGATAGTAAGTTTATGCGAAGTAATCATGGGCAAGGAAGATGAAAGAATAACTGCGTTAGAAAATATCAACAAAACGGCGAAAAAACGAAAAAGCGTAGCGGGTAAAAAAAGAGAGTGGGGACAATACGAATTTTAAATTCGAATTCGTATCCTCGGTAGCAATCGCTACTGGAATCATCGAGAACGCGGAAAAAGTTGATGCACTAAGAGCAAAGTGCGCAAAAATAAAGGGCGCAATAAGTGGACAAATGAAAGCCATACTCAAAACAATTAGGGAAGCTACAATGGTGCTCCTGAAAAAAATGACGAATCACCGTTCGTACGTATGAGAATAACCGAGTTGAAGACGGAAAACAAATTTTACAGAGAGGAAATGAAAAAATTAAAGGATACAATGAATGAATTAGAAGCAAATAACATGAGGGACAAAAGTGTGGCGGAGGTGTTGCAAGAATCGATCCAGGCATATAAGGCTGCAAGCATAAACATAAGTATGGAGAGTACTCCGGGAGCAGAGGGAAACGAGGGGGGAAAGACGTCTTTGTGTTCAGTGAGGGAAAGGAAAGCGGAGGAAGGGGAAACACAAGTAGGAAAGGAACGGAAGAGAGAGGAGATAGGATGGAGAAGGGATCAAGGAGAACAGAAGACAGGAAAAGTAGGAATGCATTTACCACAAAGGAGTGGGAGAACAGAGATATTATGAAACCGAAAAGGAGGGGAGAAGGAGGCGAAACAGAACAAGATACAGATAGGAGACACAAGAAGGGGAACAAAGGAATCAGAATAACCGAAAACGTCGTGCTGCGACCACCCCTAAAGGGAGTAAGGAAACAACTGTACGACACAGGTAAAAATGACAGAGACCTAATGATAGACAAACTGAGCAGACAAATCGAGGAACTACGGAAAGGGAGAAAGGAAGAGCAGCAAAAGACACAGGAAGCAAGAAAGGAAGAAACAAATAAGGGCAGATCATGGGCAGAAGTCCTAAGAAATGGAGAAACACAAAAACAACAAAACTGGAGACAGACAAGGGATAGAAGTGGCAATAGAGCAAAACAGGATACAGGGCTCAAGGAAAGGAACAGGACACCAGAAAGAAGAAGGCCCACCAAATCAGCGGCAGTGGCCATTAGACAAACAGAAGGAGGCCTCTCCTACAAGGAAGCCATGAAACTAGCGAGAGAAAAAATATCGCTAGAAGAGCTAGGGATCGAGGAAACAAGAATTAAGAAGGACATCGGCGGCGGCATTCTGATAGAGATCAAGGGGAAAATGGAGAGGAGAAAGCGAGCAAACTCGCCAATAAACTGGGAGAGGTACTGTCGGACGGAGCAAGGGTGTCGATCCCCAAGCAAATGGCAGAGTTAAGACTGGTCGGTCTGGACGACTCTGCCACTATCGCCGAGGTGGCACACACAGTAGCGGATAGAGGGAGCTGTGGAATAGATGAAATTAAAACAGGAATGCTAAGAACGGATTGAACCAGTATGGGTTCGATATGGCTGCGTTGCCCACTAAAAGCCGCACTAAAAATGAATGAGCTAGAGAAGGTTAAAATAGGATGGACAATGGTTAATGTCACGCTATTACCCAACAGAGGACTACAATGTTACAGGTGCCTAGAATTCGGCCACACAAGGACAAGCTGTAAGAATGAGAAAGATAGGTCAAAGACATGCTATAGATGTGGAAGAGACGACCACATATCCAGAGATTGTCGAGGAAAAGCGTGGTGCCTGATCTGCGCGGAAAGAAACCTACCAGCAAGTCATCGAATTGGGAGCGAGCTCTGTAAAGCAAAATCGCAGGGAAAAAACGGAGAAAGAATTAATAGAGCAGAATTAAGAGGAAGGGTAGTACAATAAGAAGGGGAGAGGAAAGAGAAGGAAGGAACAATGAACACTAGAACGGAGCTAGGGCAACCATCAGGGAACCAGGAAAAAATGGATGTAGAAGAAACAAAAGACAACAATATACTTGCTTATCGGAGTAATGCGCAGGAAACGAACGGACTAAATGATTAAGATTGTACAAGCAAACGTCAATCATTCACAGACAGCGCAGGACATCCTACGTCAATATATGGCAGAAGAAAACATCGATTTAGCGATCCTATCGGAACCCCACTTCGTACCTAGGAAGGACAACTGGGTGAGCGATATCGGAATGAAAGCAGCCATCACATGGAGACTAAGAAGAGGGAAACTAGCAGCCAATCTAATCCTTAGAGATAACGGATTCGTGATAGTAGAATATGGAGAACACACAAGTTGCTACATATCCCCCAACATGAAGAGACTCGAGGCAAAAGGATTTCTAAACAGGCTGGAAAACTGCATAAAAGCATTAGACAACAAACAACTGATACTAGCAGGTGATTTTAACGCGAGATCAAAAATGTGGGGTGACAAAATAACAAATTACAAAGGAGAAATTCTGGAGATCTGGACAGAAGCACTAAACCTGCAAATAGTAAACAGAGGGGAGACACCCACCTGCGTGAGAGCACAGGGAATCTCAAAGGTGGACGTAACGTGGGCAATCCCCGGCCTAGCAAACAATATAAAAGACTGGAAAGTGACAGAAGAATATCGGGATTTTCGGACCATAACAACATAGAATTCAAGATAGAAAAAAAAGGCAGGAACAAGGAAGGAAAGAACCAGAAAAGAAGGGAGGCTAAAAGGTGGAAAGTGGAAGAAACAAACCTGGAAACCATCGAAGCAGTGATACTAGTCGCTGATTGGGGCAAAACAAGGAAAGCAAGCGAAGCCGAAGATCTGGCAGTAAAGCTAACCGACATAGTTAAAACAGCGTTCGAAATATCAACACCGAAAAAGGGATCAGGCCCACACAAGAAACAAGTATATTGGTGGAATATCACAATAGAAGAAAAAAGAAAAAAGTGCATTAAGTGCAGAAGGGTTGTAACAAGAGGAAGAAAAAATATAAAACCCCTAGCAATTATCAACCGGCTGAGGGATAAAGCCAAAGCAGCCAGAAAAGAGCTCAAAATGGAAATCAAGAAGGCCAAAGGTGAGGCGTGGAGCAAACTACTGGACGACCTAAAAAAAGACCCATGGGGGAAACCCTACCAGTTAGTAATGAGAAAACTGAAAGAGAAAACAGCGACACTCACAGAAAACATGGACCCGAGAACAGTGAGGAATATCGTGGACACACTCTTTCCAGAGAACAACGATCCGAGAGAGATACCGGAATTAAGAAGCGAAGAAACTTGGAATGAAGAGGATAAAATCAAAACAGCGGAAATAATAAGCATAATCAAAAGAACAGGCAAGATTAAGAAAGCTGCAGGTCCAGATGGCCTGACGAAAGCAGTTTGGAAAATGGCGGTGGACTATACGGCGGGGGATATGGCGGAATGCTTCACACAATGCCTGAAGCAAAGTAAATTTCCCAGAATCTGGAAAGTAGCCAACTTAGTCCTACTCAAGAAGGCGGACAAACCGGATGGGCACCCTGAATCCTACAAACCGATATGCCTTCTCAACAACCTAGGCAAAGTCTTTGAGAGAATAATCGTCAACAGAATCGTAGCAAGGATGAAGGAAGTAAAGGACTTAAACGAAGCACAATATGGGTTCAGGAACAGCATGGAGGCAAATGACGCAATCCTCGACGTGAGGAAGTATACCGATTCCTACGTGAAAAAAGGACACATATGCCTAGCAATCAAGCTAGACATAAAGAATGCGTTCAACACCATACCATGGGCGACAATAATGGAGGCAGTCACACAATGGGGATTTCTAATCTACATAGTACGAATTATAAGGGCGTATCTGAGCGAAAGGTCAGTTACATATATAAACAGAGAGGGGACAAACATATATAAGAAAGTGACCACAGGAGTGCCACAAGGGTCGGTCATAGGGCCGTTGCTCTGGAACATAGCATTCAACTTGGTCATGGAGATAAACTTGCCATCGGGATGTAGAGTATACTGCTATGCAGATGATACCATCATCCTAGCGGGAGGAGAAGTAGAGAGCGAAGTTAAAGCAAACGCGGAGGTAGCAACGCAAATGGTCTGCAACCACCTGAAAATATTAGACCTGGAAGTAGCGCAGGACAAGCCGGAAGCGCTACTCTTTAGCAGCTCCAAACAACACAAGAAGATTAAATTAAAAATTGGAAATGGACACACTACAACCGGAGCAATCATAAAATATCTGGGACTAGTGGTGGACCACAAGTGGTCATTCGAGACTCACTTCGAACAGACAGCCAGTAAGTGCGAGAAGACGGCGACACACCTGACAAGACTCCTACCGAACAACAGGGGACTGAGCGAGAAAAAAAAGGAGACTGTACGCACATGTAGTGCACTCAATAATGTTGTACGGAGTTCCCGTATGGTACAAAGACCTAATGAAGAAAAGGAAGACGGCTGAACCATGGAAGAGAATACAGAGAAGGATGGCGCTGAGAATAGTAGCAGCATACAGGACAGTCTCACACCCGGCATCAGCAATGCTGGCAAGAATACCACCAATCGACCTCCTGGCAACGCTGAGAGCATAAGTCTTTTTAGAGAAGAAAGCGGTAATCAGGAGGAACGGTTTCATCACAGCAGAAGAAAGCAAAGAAATAAGGAGAACTAAAAAAAAAAAACTAAGTACAAGATGGAGGATGAGGCTTAGCGACCCCTACCTACCGAGCGTTAACATAAGAGAAGCAATCCTACCTGTGTTTGACAACTGGCTGAACAGGAGACACGGGGAGCTGACCTATTTTATGACGAAAATGCTGATGGGCCACGGAAGCTTCGGCAGCTTCACACATAGAATAAAAAAACGACCACAGCGGAATGCCTGTATTGCGGAGAGGCAACAGATTCCAATACACACACAACGAAAGATTGCACACAATGGGAAGAGAAAAGACCAATAATGAGAAACACAACTGGAATAGGCATTACACTGAAGGAAATTATAATCAAAATCACAGCAAGTAAGGACATGTGAGAGGCATACGGCGCCTTCTGCAGGAAGGTATTGGCAAAAAAAAACAGGATGAATGGAGGAGACAGGACATAAGGATAGGAGGAGCGGAATCGGAATCGGAGGAGGATAATTAATAAAAGAGGAAGAACCATATACTTAACCAGAAGAACCAATACACATAAAGAAGGACAAGCGTAGAAAAACTAAGTAAGGAAGGAACTAATAAGAAGGTAGGGCTCAACTATGGCCAAAGGAACATCTGGGTAGAAGAGAGATCCAGCAGGGGAATAGTATGGGACTCAATCATCGAACCCCAATAGAGACATGTCCGAGAGAGACGCCTGAGGGAGCGGGGGCTCGGAGCAGGCGGGGATATCTGCTTCGAGATACTCGCCCTCCTCTCCACGCGTGGGGGGGTTGGCGGGGGGTGGGGTGTCGACCCCCCACCTGAGGAGATAAACATCCCCACAAGGGAGCCAAAAGGGAAGGGAGTCGGATGAGACTCAGGCGCAAGGTTGGGCCGAAAAGCAATGTCCCCTGACCCCGATCACAGAGCGCACGGAAGACACCCGGGGGAGTTTTAGCCGGTAAGAGTCCGGCATAACCCTTGGCCCCCACCCCGGGAGGTCAGGGGTATCCATGAGGATTTTTCCCCGTCACCAAAAAAAAAAAAAAAAGATTAGTTTGGTTAAGTTAGGTTAGTTAGTTAGGTCCCTTTCTCGGGGTGCACCACCTTGTCGTGTTGAGGGGGCTCCCTGGCTCTCGACCCGCCCCTCCCTTGGGAGGGGTCCTTTCTGGGTGCTGGCTGGGTTGTCGGGTTCGCTGGGTCGTGGCGCCCGGGCTGGTACGCCCCCCGGTGCGTGCTGCGGCCCGGCGTGGCCGCTGCCTTGATCTGTGTCCCAGTGGAAAACCT